TGTAATTAGCGATCCCGAAATCGCCTATATAAAGAAACTTCGGGAAATAAAATGTATGGCTCAAAGGTTAATCGCGAATTTCGCTCACATGGATCGTCGATACTTATACAAGGTATCTCAACTTGATTTTACCATCTTTCGTGAGAGCAAAAAGTGGGTTGAAGTGAATAAGAATGATATAAGAAAAAGAAGGGCGTGTAAGAGTCTAGGCACAGATTAAATAGTGAAATCAAAAATGTTAAATAGGCACAAATATATTTACTTAAGCTTTTTACTGAAAAGGACCCAAAAAGGGTCGAAACGTATAAATATATTTGTGTTTATTTAACATTTTTGATTGCATTATTTAATCTGTGCTTAGACTCTTAAACGCTCTTCCTTGTCTTATTTCTATCTTGATTGTTAAATCTTAGAGCCAATTTGTTTAATTTTTAATATTGAACAAAAAAGTCGGTTTTGTGAAAATCGCAGTAATGATCGAGATATTAATTGTAGAAGATTTTTGAATGATATGATATGGTAGATGAGCTATAGTGGCGACGTTTTTCATCGCGTGCTTGTACATTCGATTAAATTGAACAGAAAAGTCAACTTCCATTTTGCAAATAACCACATAAAATTTTAATTATTAATTTAAAAAAATTGTTGCAAGATTTTTTTACGCAGTCTTCTTTCATCTCATATCGAACTCATATATCATATTGAATATTATCATTTACAAATCTTTGATATCTCGATAGTTATAGTTGCGAATGTCGTAAAACAATATAGAACTTTTATGTTCATCTCAATCTGACCTACGCCCTCGTGAGAGATTATGAAGTCGACCTGGGACACCCTGTAACGTCCCAGTGGTCGAACATACATGTCCCAATGATTGACATATTGATTTTGTATTTTTCTTTGTTGAAATGCTTTTCAATATACAAAACAATATAATAAATGAAAAGAAATATTTAGTTACTTTGTGATTTTGTTTCATTTATTGATAAGCATCTTAACAAACACAAATATATCATTAGTAATTCAATTATCGGTACATGTTCAATCACTAGGACGTTTACCTTATATCTGTGTCGCTTTACACCGCGCTGGCGCGGAAGGGCGCGAAGTGCCATCGACGCGCTCTCTCGAAAGCGTATCATTTCACCAAAGGTGTAGCGACACCCGCTTTACGCAATCGGACGCGGTGCATTGCGCATATCCGGAAAACGCCTGTCCTGGAATCCGTTTCACAACGACGTGCTGACACACGACGCGACGCGACGCGACGGGACGGGACACTCGTCGTCATCGCCATCTCGCCATCGCCGAACCGTCTCTCTCGCGAACGGACAGACACACAAAGGGCTATTGTGCCGATTTTTCTGCCGGTAAAGCGTGTCGCGGATCTAATCGCCCACGCGAATGCCTGCGCGCTCTCGCGCGAATCGCCGCGGCACCCAGGACTCTGATTTCAAGGAGCGCGCGCGCGAGCTCGGGCTCATGCGTTACGCACACGCCAGCTATTTACTGTCGTATCAAGGTTGGCGCACGAGATGCCTTGCTTTAGTGTTGCCCGTCTTACGCCGTGGAACTACGCACCGGGAATTAATGTTGACTCGGTCAATCCGATTGATTCGTATGTCTCTTCGGATGAATATTGCGGGCTGGGACGCTTTATCGACGTTAGGTCTGTTCTTATGGCTGCACCAAGTTGCACTGTCTTCAAGTAAATTCAATACACGGAAGGAATTTTATAGTAAAAATCACTGTGGAATTTTGTAGATAGATATAGATCGATATTTAGATAGACCGAGTAATAGGTCGATATTTTGCACTAATTGATTATACTTTTATTTAATACGTGTTATCTATATTTCAGAAACTGGAATATGCCATATTAAAAAATGACTATACTAAAATTACTATATTGAAAGAAAAGATATCTAAGAAATAACAAATATTTTTCGAGATACTAATATTAATAACGTATTTACTTATATTAATGTATATAAAATATTTTCAATAAGATTGTTTATTCTATTTATATAAGAGAATTTAAATTTAAGTAAATATGTTATTAGTAACTGAGTAAATATAGTTTTTTTATTTCTTAAATATTTTTTCTTTCCGTTTCTAGCGGAATTTATGATGCTCTTTGCCGAAAGATAGACTTTAATCTATTCCTGCACTACTAGAAATATAATATAAAATAAGAAGAAATTATATGAGAAGAAATTACAATATTATTTCCATATGTATATATTTAATCTGGTAGAAGAAAGAAAAAAATTATAAATATTCCAAGATATTTCAGAAAGTGCGCAGCTATAAAGAACAGACTTGTTATCGTCGTCGTGAGTGACACGTTGACTGCTACATTGATTTCTATTGAATGTATACGGTAACTTATCGGATAGTTACATTTTCCTCATGGAGAACAAATTTCATAAGAACCAACAGTCCTGTCTTGAACCGAAATGCGTTAGTTGTCACTATTACGTTTTAATTAAACCGATCTTTTTCTCCGCGTGCAAGAATACGGTGGGGTAATGCAATTTCAAGAACATTTATCTTTTACCTCATTTCATCGGCTCTTTATTGGCCGTACAATCACTTTCGTAGATGCAATTAATTATACTTTACACGTGACTCAATAAGACACGGTAGAGTACCGTAGCGCCGGTCACCAGTGGCCGTCACGGCATTCGATGTGCGTTAATGAGATAATTAATAAATTCGATGCGCATTAATTAATTTTCGCGCGACAAAGCAGGTTCGACACGAGTGCTTGTCCTTTTCCTTATCATTCTTTCTTAATTTCTCGCGATTTTTTGAACACGTTAATATTAATATGAAACATATGTAAGAGAGTTGATCGTAAATGAGGAGTCTAATATTGCAATTCTAAACAAAATCGTAAGTCTCATAACTTGTTCTCGTAAAATTCGTAAGAATTTATGAATAGATTTACAATTGTATACAATATCATATGTTGTACAATCACTTGTAAATATCGTAAATTACATGAAATCGTAGATATTTACGAATAATTGTACGACATATAATATTGTATAGAATTGTATCTACTCATAAGTTGTTACATATTTTACGAGAACAAATTACGAGACTTAAGATTCTGTTTAGAATTATAACATTAGATTGGCAACGAGAATCGCAGAGTCATCCCGATACTTCCGAATATCACGAAGATATGCGTGTAAAATGTTCGAAGATCCGTCGAGACAATAATGAAACACACGTTATCGGTCGTTTCCGCGCATTTGGGATCTAAAGGAGATTCTGAAGCCTTTGCCTTTGATATCGAGTTATGGTATGCAGCTTAACCTCGATGTTGGCGTAATAAGAAGGCATTTTTTTCTCGTTCAGGGATTGTTTTCTTGCCGCGCGCGCGCACGTTGACTGTCTGTCTATCTGCCGCGGGTAAAAATGCTGGAGCATTGTGCACTTTAAGTTATATACCCTCGCAGAGTTATGGCCCAGATCCAGATCGCGGTATCGGAGGACATTGTTCGAAAGTAATAGAATTACGTTGGTGGTACGGACAGGATGCAGTTAAGAGTGCGTGACGCACGTAGCGCACTTGCTCCAACTTCTGACTTATAGGCGCGCTCCGTGTGTTCCAACTACGAAATAAGCACGTGCGTTATCCAGCATTTTTACGCATGTCTCTCGCGCCAACGCGCGTAAAAGCGCCGGCATTTTATTACATACCATTTGCATCTATCATCACGCCGTAAAACGGCGCGCTGCGAAATACTGATAACAAATGATAATCGTAAACGCCGAATGCGCGGCCGTAACGTAACCGTGTGAGTCAACGCGCGAGTTGTTCGCCCCGTGAAACAGGATCAAAATCACCGAATAATATAAGACGAATAATATAACGAGCTTGACGCGGATCATTTCTCTGCTCATGAATGTTGCCATAATTATCTGAAAAAATAATTAGCATTTTAAGACGAATCTTGCAACGAGCGCGCATTGCAGGATTTTGTAATGTAGGTACACTGATAAAATCGTGAAACCGTGAAGCGGGATAAATCGCCAAGTTAACGTTCGCCATTTATCCACTCATAAACATTGCGACAATTATTTATAAGATAATTTTTATCTCAACTTGACTTATGACGAACGCATTGCGCCATTTTCTAAGATACAGAGCATCGATAAAATTATGTCGTGAAACAATCACTGAATATAACGAGTTGACGTTGATGATTGCTCCGCTTATAAGCGTTGCTATAATTACTTGGAAAAATAATTAGTATCTTAGTATGAATTTTGCAATAAATGCATAATTGCATAATTTTGTAATGTACATAGAGAAAATATTGTAATAAAAATTATTGCAGTTATAATTATATTTTTTCTTACAATTATTTTTCTTAAAGTTGGACTGTACTATAAAAACAGTGAATGTCACGATTTATCTGATGTATGATATCAAAAAAATATTTAAGTAATTACAATAATTTTGTAGTGAACTTTGAATAGTTCAATAGTCGAACTTGCATAACAGATTTAAATAAATATATAGTAATTTCAATTATAGTTTTATATAGTTCAAGATTACAAAAATTTTGTTGTAATTTTTACTACATTTTCTCTCCGTGCATAACACGACGTTGATGCTTTGTCTGTTCATAAGTGTTGCGATTGTACGTAACATTAGTGTTTGAATCCGAGTTGCAATAAATGCGTTGTAAAACAGGGTGAATCGCCCTGTTGAATATGCCAAATTAACATCGATTACTTATCCGCTCGTAAGCGTCGAGGTAATTATTCGTAAAGCAATTTATATTTTAATTCAAATTGCAACACATTGCATCATCATTTTTCAAGATACAGACTCCGACCGTATCTTATTGAATTATTTCCGCTGAGCATACACGACTGTAACGCACTTTTTCCTTTTTTATGATTCAAGTGGCGTCACCTCTCCAGCAAGAAGCATTGAATAATTCGATAAGTGATATCTCGCTCTGTTTTTCTAGGCTACGTTACGCGACGCGTAAGATCGACCGCACGATCGTTGATACTTGCAGCTAAAAGAGGGAGGCCTCTGAACGCATGCGCGGCGATCTTTAGTAGGTCGTTCGGTTCCTCCGAGGCTGCTCATCTCGCGACCTGCTGTATCACGTACAGTCGCGAAAGGCGAAACGTGCATCGCGATCGCGTCTCTTGATCAACTGCGACCGTTCGCCCACAGAAACCCGACCGAATACCGTAATCTGGACGTGTTTACGGCAACGCGTCGTCGTCGTCGTCGCAGTTACACGTCAACGACGGCGCTGGAGAGACCTGAAGAGCAAGCGGTCTCGCATTTTCACTTCCATTCCTGTGGCTAGTTTGTCATGCGGTCGTGATCCGTCGCGAGGATTCCCGCGTGGAAGTTCGCGTCGACCACGTGTCCGGCCGCGCCGATTCCGCGAGATTCGCGAGTGCGCGAGCAGTGCCGTGCACGGGAAACGACGCGACGCCGTTCAGCTCGCCGGGAAGAATCGCGGCGCGCGCGGTCGGGCGAGCGCGCGCATGCGTGAGTTTGTAGGTCGCGCACGCTCGGGCCGCCTCGGCGGCGCTCGGGCGTTGCCGGCCGCGTTCGCGGCGATTCGAACGCGCCCACCGACTCCCGCCACTCGCTCGGCGCGGCGGTCAGTCGGTCGATCGTACGCGACATACGAGGATCGTGAGGAACTCGCGGGAATTCGCGAGAGGTCGCGCACGCGTTGAGGACGGAGAGAGGACGAGGGATCGTGAAGGAGCAGCTGGTTAAAGGACTGGCGACGAAAGCAGGAGCAAATAGGATTCTCTGAATTTGTCGTCGTCGTCGTCGTCGGCTATCGCGGGAAGACGTGTCGATCTCTCCTCTCGAGCGAGAGCGCCGAGGGATCGATCCACGCGCGCGAACACGGCAGCTGTCAAAAGTGTGGAGCCGCGGACGAAGGGGCACGAGACATGGTGTACGGAGGAGGATTCGACATGGTGGAAACGGTGAGTTTTTCAACCACTGCACTCGCAGATTGTGTTTATTTATTGGGTCTTTCCTTTGCTCCGCGTATCATGCATGAATTCCTATCTTTAATGTGTTGAGAAAAAAGTGCTTGGAAACTTATACTCGGGGAAAGAGGGAGCGGGGATATAAAGTTTATATTTTGCAGATATGAACTTTATTTCGCAGAAATAAACTTTGTATCCCACAAATCATTTTCGCGTATTTTTTCCTCAGTTCTCGGTCTTGTTCTTGCTGACTTAAAACGTGTTAATTGGAAAATTTACTTACTTACTTCAAACTATACACGTCAGTCGGTGTTACGACCAGATGTTTAAGCATAAAATAGTTGTACCGTTGCTTCTAATTGCGTCGCATTAAAATTCGTACTGTTAGAAAATTCGCTATGAAATACTTCGCGAATAAATAGATGATATAATCATTTTGGAAGCGAATTTGGAATCTTTTAAAGTAAAACTATTCATGTATTCTATTGTGAAGAATGTATTTGCATCATTTCTCAAGAGGTTACTCCGATAGGGTGACCTTTCTCTTAGCGAACACATCTCGAGAGTAAACACGAGAATTTTATGAACTTTGAGACTCAAGTTAGATCTTTGCTTCTTTAAGCATTTAACGACCGCAAAATTCTTTCTTTCAATCTGATGCGAATCAAATTTGTACACGCAAGCACATACGAGCAAGTTCACGGTATTGTTATTCCGTTTCCGGAGTAATAATGAAATCGTAGCTTTGGAAATTGATTTTTTAATTCAACAAAATAATATATTTACTCCACGATATTTTCATTGATGCTTGGAATTATTTGGAAAGTTCCAACGGCCAAAATTATCGAAGCGACATTGCGCGTAGCAATAATCATCCGTTGTCTCTCTGACTTCCAAGACAATCGTGTAGAAAACCAACGAACAGTGTCGCAGAATCGTATTCGACGTAAATGAACGTAATAGAATGTTATGAATCCTCGCGAAGGAAAGGATTGCGGATGCATCGTGATGCTGCGCGCGATAGTTACGGCCCTGTCGAAGAAAGACACGAGCCGGCGAGTCGGTCGTACGGAAGGCTAACTTTCGAATCTACCACCACTATAAGACCGGCAGTGTCGGTAGTTAGGTACGAGAACCGAGAAATTCACTCGGCTGGTACGTGATGGAAAATTTCGCGGTAAAAACAGAGGCGAAACCCAGCGGCGGGTCGCGATTTTCTTGGCGACGCGACTTTTACCGAGCAGCCTGTCGTCTTCCGTAAAACGCGTCGCTACGATACATCCCGCTGTTCGCGCGATTCAATCGCGTCGCTCCTTTACATGCAGACAATTTTTATTGAATCGTACACTGAGAAATTGATATTCTTGTTCTTAGAAAAATTGTCTAAAATAAGTACCAAGTGTAAAATATCCTAAACATAAGATTCATTCCGCTTGTTTTGAAATTCTCTCCTTGTGTAGAGAACGCGTGAATAAATATAATTTATCTCTTAGATATTTCTTCTCTCAGTATATACGTGCTAGACAGGCAAGACTACTACAGTGTTTCTTTAGTTAATGAGAATGTTCATATTTTCGCGAAAAGTTCTCTGCGCGCATTCTTCCGAGTTTTCAGTGGCCGTGTATTGTCGTTTCCCTCGCGTTTTCGATCTATTTACTTTACTGGGATATCAAAATAAATCGAGGACTGAGTTGGAAATTATGCATTTAAACGAAACAAAAACACATTTCGCACGTTATTTATATACTGAAGGTCACGAAATCGATATTTCGTTCATGCTAATTATTGCGGATTACGGATTCCACTTCCGGTTTCTCGCGATTCTTAATTCAGCGAGCAAAAGTCCATGCTGTAGCAACCGCGGGCTATCGTTTCACGGGGCCGGGAGGGAGAGGAGAGCTGGAGTTATGGAAGCTCGAGCATCTCATAAGATCTTCGTGCGAGGAAATGCACGCGAATTCATCTTTCTCGCGATACGCGCGAGAAGAAGCGGTACGAAACGCGAACGCGATTAAACAGAGCGTTTTTGAGCGCTGTTCTCCTAGCCGCGGAGTGGTGCAGTCATCGTGGACATTGCTCCTCGAATGGGTGGTTGCGTTTCGTGCGCCCGATATCGCCGCTACCGCCAGATAATACTTATTGCTGTTGGTATTTGCGCGGACGTCTCAATCGACTGGAAAAATAAAGAGGAAAAGCGCGCGAGTCGCGACCAAGTCAACGGCTTCTCTTGGGTGATATCCATCGCGAAGCGGCGACACGAAGTATCGTCACTTATGGCGAAGCGTTTTTTCGAACGAACGTGTCGTATACGTTCCCGATTTTCACTTTAATGACGCACAAGCGCGGTCGACGTAGTGCCCGCGCGTGTCGACGATGTAATCCTAATCGTCCGTACAGCTGTATCTCATTGCACAATATTTTACCTCGTTTTTCGTGTACCCCGGTCTTTTTGTTTCGCGATCTCTCCTCCTAGAAATCGCCCGTCGCTTGCGCAATCGACGGAAAATACGCACTCTTCTCCGTGTGTATCTATATAATACCGACGACCGTATTCAGCGAATTCTCCAAATGATTCATTATGATAAATAATTCATCGTGATAAATCCATTCTGATTTATCTGTTGGGACGAATTTTTATTAATTTATCGGCACCGATCCTCGCGACATAAAATATACTCTCTCTCTCTCTCTCTCTCTCTCTCTCTCTCTTGCTCGCTCGCTCGCTCGTCGGGGAGAAAAGCGACGAATTCAAACTCGTCCCCGAGTCGATCTCGCGCTCTCGTGTCTCTCGCCTTTGTCCAGGTTATCGGGAGTATTTTCGGTCTGGGCGATATGGGAAATGCGCGCACCCGTCCATATCGTGCGAAACTTATTGTCGGAGATAGCCGTTGGCGTACGTCGTGTCGCGCCGAGCCCCGAGCGGCCGACGCTCGGCCGCGTAAACAGGGTGTAATTAAAAAATGTCAGTAGCCGGTCTTTGTGCCGCGGGAGCATTGTATATAGCAGGCGTCCTTGCCGAGCCAATTCGAAATCCTGTCTCGCGCGGGCTCGCATTAGCGAGGGCGTGGTTGGTTGGTCGTTCGTTCCTGGTCCGAGGATAGCCAGCCGCGTGGTAATTGCACCAGACTCGTTTCCACCGCACGACTTTTACGGTTTCGACTTGTCCCCTCGCGCCTCTCGCTCCTTTTCCTCTTCTTTCTCTTTCTCTCTTTCTCTCTCTCTCTCTCTTTCTCTCTTTCTGTCTTTCTTTTCTCTACCGACGACAAGACGTCGCGAAACTCGCGCTGGATGTCACACCTCGCGCAGATCTGCCCCGATTTTCATAACTCAACTTATATCACTCGATCTGATCACCGCTCGCTCGCGTGAAATTGCCTGGTCTTATCTGAAATTGAAAATTTAATAAAGATCGGGGAAGAGTGAAATATTTTCGATCGATTTCTCAACGTTACGTGCACTGAGAGAGGAATATTTAAAAGATAAAAGATGTGTGCGTTTATTCGCGATGGGTACCTATAACGTATTTACTTGCTCTAATCTACGTATCCTTCCATTTGTCCCAATTGTTTATTCCATTTGAACAAAAGAATTTACAGTTAATTACTAATTAATTTATCAATACACTCACGGAATAGATATTTTCCATTTTTTAGATATTTCTTCTTTCAGTGTAGATAAAATGCTTTCAGTGAAGAACTGAAGGTCGAGAAAAAGGTCGCGGAACGTCTTTATCGAACTTGATAAATATCATCCTGCTATCATTGCAAAAGTTCTCTAGGTTTCCCTCTCCTCCCCCCCCCCCCCCCCCC